TCCTTGGGCCCACAAAGCATCATTTGTTGGTTTAATTTATAAAACAACAAGAACATGTGATCAAATCACTCATGGTACATTGCGACGTGGCATACATTGGGCCAGTCACAAAGATGATTAGCGCCTTCCATACAAAGCCAATAATAATAATTATTATTGTTTGAAAAATCGAGATTTCATTCAGAAGTTAAAAAATCTATATTATGATATAATTATTATTAATATTTTTAAAAGCTATGAAATCTATATTTTATATTTTATATTCAACTTTATATAAAATATTTCTTAAGGAGAAAAAATTGGGTATCTATTGATGCTATAAGAAGCCAAAAAAGGAAAAATATATGAAAAAGGTATTTTGGAGGAACAAGGGCACATGGCAAAAGCATGAGCGAAATTTATGGACGCCCATTAAATATCTGTGGTAGATAAAGATATTATAATATTTTAAAAGGCAAAATCAAGGAATAACTTTCTATGGTATTGAAATTGTCTATAACGGCCTCGTGCCTTCATTTCATTCGAAGTTCCCATTGTCTTCTTTCGCATACAATTTAACTATTGATTTTGATTTTTACTTTGATCTATAATTTATCTTAAATTATTATTTTAATATATAATATTTAAAATATAGATCTTAACATTTTTTTATTAATAAAGGGTAGTTATAGGGGTAATATATGTTCTAAATACTCACAATCATTTGATAAATAAACACTCAAATATCTTGCAGTTATTGATACTCAAACTTAAAACTTCTAGAGATAACCACCCCTTTCACCAGTGAAATCGCTAGATTCGTACATAAATCTTAACATTTTAAATGATTTTAAATTTATAATTATAAAAATATAATCATTATTTCAAAGTCATATAAAATTAATAATCAAATTACATGTCAAAATCAAAGTCAAATATCAAGTTGCAAAAAGAAAAGTAAGGGTCAAATTGCAAGTAATTACCAGAGTTAGGGGTCAATTTGCTGTTCAAAACCAAAGTTAAGAGCTACATTAAAAGAATAAGTCAAATTGTATATCAAAACTAAAGTCAAGGGTCATAAATTGACTTTATAAATAACGGGGAACTTAAATTTTTTGGGGGGTTAATATATAAATATAATATTTTAAAGGGTTTAAAGCTAAAATATTTTATCAAAATGATTTGAATTAAATTATTATTATTTGATAAACTTTAGGTTAAAGTACACAAATGGTCCTCCGACTATAGGATGTTGCTTTATTAAGTCTTTCAACTATTAAAAGTTACAAAATGATCTTTCGACTATAGAATGTTGTTTTGTTAAGTTCATCGACTATTAAAAGTTACAAAATAATCACCTGACTATTCATTATGTTCCAAAATCATCAATTTCCATTAAAAAAATTGTGGTTGTCTAAGCTGAACATTAACATGATAACTGGATATGATAGTCGTTTGAGATTCTGTGATCATATTTTATCATATCACAGTCAACAAGTTAACATTCAACTCAGAATATTGTTAATTTTTAATAGAAAAGAATGAATTCAGAATATAATGAATAGTCGAGTGATCATTTTGTAACTTTTAATAGTCGAGGGACTCAACAAAGTAACACTCTATAGTCAGAGAGCTATTTTATAATTTTAAATAGTCAAGAGACTTAATAAGATAGTAAATCTTTAGTAAGGGGTCCATTTGTGTATTTTACCTTAAAATTTAATGCTCGTGGTTAAGAGATTGTTGTTATCCGATATATATATATCGCATATCGATTAATTGAGCTTGGCCCGTTTATGGTTTACCTTGAGACCGAGTCCAAAAGACCTTAGCCCATACTAATATTTTCTCTAGTGGGCGACAGCAAGAGACTAGCCCACAGCAGCTTCATCGTTGTCGTCATCGTCTGATTATGTTCGACTGTTTTCACGTCTCCCTGACAGAACCAAACGAACGAGAAGATGCTTCAATGTCTCTTTCGTTCCTTAAAAACTGTAATAACAATTTCTCGTTCACTAATCAGCCCCGCAAGTGATTCATTTTACCTCTTGTTTCACTCCTCTTCTAGGGATCAGCCCCACGAACAACAGCAACTTGGTTCGTCCCCTCTGCCAATCGCTTCCCCTACACGAGTCCTCAAACTCATCTCCGCCCAGTCCGATCCTCTCCTCGCTAAGGAAATCTTCGATTTAGCCTCTACCCAACCAGGTTTTCGTCACTCTTACTCTTCGTTTCTTGTCCTTATCCTCAAACTCGGACGGTCCGAGCACTTCTCTCTCGTCGACGACCTCCTCGATCGCCTAAATTCGATCAATACACTGTAACCCCGACTCTGTTTAATTACCTTATCAAAATCTACGCTGAAGCTGATTTACCCGAGAAAGCTCTCACGGCGTTTTACAGAATGTTCGAATTCAAAATATCAAGCCTTTACCCAGACACTTAAATCGCATTCTCGAGCTTCTCGTTTCTCATCGTAACTTCATTGTGCCTGCTTTTGAACTTTTCAAGAGTGCCCATAAACACGGTGTTTTACCCAACACGAAATCTTACAACATTTTGATTGGTGCTTTTTGTTTGGATAGGGACTTGAGTATTGCTTACAAACTGTTCAACAAAATGTTTGAGAGAGAAGTCGTGCCTGATGTCGAATCGTATAGGATATTAATGCAAGGGATGTGTAGGAAGAGTCAAGTGAACAGAGCTGTGGATTTGTTGGAAGATATGTTGAATAAAGGGTTCGTACCGGATTCCTTGAGTTATACTACTTTGTTGAATAGTTTGTATAGGAAGAAGAAGCTTAGAGAAGCTTATAAACTTCTTTGTAGAATGAAGGTTAAAGGGTGTAATCCTGATATTGTGCATTATAATACGGTTATCTTGGGGTTTTGTATACAAGGGAGAGCTATGGATGCGGTTAAGGTTCTTGAGGATATGCCTTCAAATGTGTGTTTGCCGAATTCGGTTTCTTATCGGACTTTGATAGGAGGGTTATGTGATCAAGGGGTGTTTGATGAGGCTAAGATGCTTATGGAGGAAATGTTGGCGAAGGGCTTTTCGCTGCATTTTTCGGTTTCACGCCTTAGTGAAAAGGGTTTTGCAATGTTGGTAAGATTGATGCAGCTACCGAAGTGTTGGGGAAATGCTCATATCAGGAAGTACCACATATCGATACTTGGGTAACCGTAGTTCCTACTCTCTGTGAAGATTATGAACCTGAGAGAATGGAGGAGATTCTAGATGAGGTTTTAAAGGTAGAAATCAAAAGGAACACGAGAATCGTGGAGGCAGGCATTGGGTCGGTGGATCACTTAATTCGGAAAACAAGATCCAAATCAAAGAGGCTTGAATAGTATCACAGATAATACAGATTTATTGGCTATATATTTTGATATCCAGGATCAATAAATGTTCTTAATCCAGAGGTATGAGACTGTTATACCTATTTCTTCAATCCAGTAATTCCTTTTCCTCTTTCGATTTTAGCAATTCTTGAGAATGGCGTTTTCTTAACTCAAGGTTGGGCTAGTTGAGCTCTTGTAAGTAAAGCGCCTGGTTATGTTTTAGGATATTTATAGGGATTCAGGTGTGTTAAGCATTGTTAATTACTCAGCAGAAGCACATGTCGACAATAAAAGCAATGTTAACTAAAATTCTTCTGGACGGTGCTCCTGGAGCCAAGCGAGGGGTTTTTCGACCACGGATTTTTCATCGGCAACAGTAATACTAAACTAGCCCCGAGTATAGTTGCCTCTGTTCGCCAGATATTTGCTTAAGAGTGGTGATTGCAGGTATTAGGAAGATTGTGTATTTGAATCCCGAGAAAAGCCATCATCAACAGAAGCCTTAATGGCAAGCGGTTTGATTCCACAACCATTACAGTTTTCAAGCTGCATTTCCATGATTCTATGATCCAAAGGTTTTGGCGGGTACCGAGGTTGTTCAAAAGGTCGTTGGTGGCCTTTGCAAAAGGCTCCCTCTAGCAAATTATTTGGGGTAAATTACGCCGATGATCACTTCACTTTTAGGACACTTGCACTAATATACCATAAACGCACTCTTCGAGGAGGCATTCTTGCTTATTCCTCTTTTTAGCAGGGTTTTCACTGTTATCAATAGGATAATCGAAGACCAAAGATAAAAACAAGAAATAAAGTTCATGTTTCGATCCTTCAAATCTTAAGTAGTTTCTTTTTTCGTTAAGAAATAAGCAGAGCCAAAGACAATGATTTGTATGAGATCAAAATTTCTAATGAACAATTCATTCCAACATGGATTTGGCAAATCAAGTCGCCATGGAAGTGAATTATCCATGTCCATGTTTTCTTTCTTAATTGCCTGAGGTAAGTTCAATCTAGTATGGTTTACATGCAGATTCTCCCCTATGATTTGCTTGTTTTCTCCTTACCTGCAAAACAAAATTTCCAAGGATTTAAAACAATACGGGCAAGATATCTTAAGTTTTTTTTTTCTTTGAGTAAACAAACTCACTCAACTATTAATAGCATCATAAATAGCGTAGTTCTCAATACACTCTGGTCGGTCAGAAATAAATCAAACGGGGGAAAAACATTAAGTGCCCAATTGGCATGTAGTAGGTCTATGAATTTCATCCTTTACTTTATTAAAACTGATAAGTTAATCCCTTGAATTTGTCAAAATTTTATCCATGTATCGTTATTTAAATAACATTAGACTAAAATTTAATCCATGTATATTTGTTTCAAAAGAATTTTTAAATATACGCTCTAACTTAGAATTTAGGTTTCTTGTTTACGAGTTTAACTTTTTTTATTAATTTAACTCGAACAAATTTATTTGACTCGATTCGGGTCAGACTTCATTCACGACTTGAAAATTTTCAAATTTAAGATGATAAAATATGACTTTATTAACTAGGCTAACTCAGTTTTTTCACTCGATTCGATTGAATACTTGCCCTAACTGGGCTAACTTCTTACCTTTCCTAAAGTATGAGTACTAAAATAGAGCAAATTAAAGTAGAAAGACAAAGTTATCAGTTACCATAGAGGGAATAAACTCATAAGTAGAGCATCAGTAATAACTGAACTGAACTCACCAAATATGCTTGATTTTAGGGGGAATCTGAGAGATGATCCCTTCAACTTTAGCTCATTCAGTTGCCTGCTTTTACTTGGTTTTTGGATTGCACCAACTTGACTGCTGCTTTCCCCTGCTAAAGCTCCACTTCCTTTCTTCACTTTTTCATGATAAATAGCAGGGGGTGCAAGCCTTAACTGAGGCAGATTTTCTATCTGGGCTAATCTCTGGTCTTTTTGAAGGTTAGTTAGAATTTCGAACTGCAAAATTCCGAATTCAGTATAGTTATTTCCCTGCCGACTGAAGTAGCAATCAAATCTGATAGGCAGATATAGATTTTTTACCCGTGATATTTGCTGAAGGTCATGAGAATTATCTAGGGCATCGTTTTCGTGAGGATGCAATGTTGATCCTTGTGCTGGGAGGTGTCTTGCGGGCAATGAACTAACTAAACCATTCTCTGTAAGAGCATATTTGTTTCTAGATTTATGAGTATTCTTCTTAGGCAAACAAACAGGGAATCCAAATGACAAGCCCCTAGTTGATGCCTCATTTTCCAGCAGCTCACATTGAAGATGAGTTGTGTGACCACAACTGAAAACCCGAGCACGAAAGCTAGAAGAATTCTTTGTAAGAAGGTTGTTGCATATACAACAAAGTAAACTTCGTGGGGCATAGCCATGTGAAGCTCCCTTCTTCAGTAGGCTCAAGGTGTAAAATGTGTCATCTTCGATCACAGATTTGGCGGTAGCCTGAAATTTATAAAAAAGAACGTAACTAAAAGTTCACCTAAGATATTAACATTAAAATTACTCATAGCAAATTATTACTGAAACAAGCGTATTCCAAGTTGCAACCAAATCCAAATGATATTTCAGAAATAATGTCGTGTAGGATATTTTGTTGCCTAATTATGTATATGGTGTAGTTATATACAACATGTCAGCATAATCAGAAACTTACTAGAGCACTATCCTATTCACAAGGCCTGGAGCATATGGTGCAAGTGAATGACAGGCTCGTGCATCGTAGTAAGCGGATTTCTTTTTTCCTTTCTTCCCCTCAATTTTAAAGGAAGATAATAAATGATAAAAAAAAAGCTTCAATTAAATTACTCACAAGTACATAAGCTTATATTTATATTCAAAATAAACAAACATACCAGAACTCTTCTTTCAAAGCCATAAGTTACTAGCATTCCCAATATGGTAAGCCTGAAATCTCCAAATTCCTGGCCACCATGATCAGATAGGAGTTTTGACATAATTGTTGGAAGACGAACATATCCTATCATACCCACAACAATCTCTTTGATGAACTGAGAAAAAAATTTCCTCAATATAGGACCACCTTTATGAGATTTTGGGATCCTCCACTTGATTAGGCATTCCTCTTCGTCTTGAGAACCCAATGATTCAACCAGACCCACATGATTTTCCTTTTCGGGTGCCCTTTCATTGCAGTATGAACCCATCTAAGGTTCACAAAATCTGCATTGAAACTCAGGGGACAGTAAGCATAGATGTACTCTTTAATAATTTGAAGGTATTTCACCATAGATGTGCTCTCTAATCATCTGGGTATTTCACCATAAATGCACTTATTATATCACATATAATGGATTTTCATTTAACTTTTAACTATGTAATATGCTAGAATGTTATGGACAGAAATAATGAGCTTGAAATTAAAATAAGATGGGAAAATAAATGATGGGTTTTTAGTTATCTACAGCAGACCTTTAGTTTTACACCTCATTTATCAAAGCTTAGCAGAACATGGAGAACTGAGGGTTTAAGGATTAAATTTTGAAGAAAAGCAGAATTACGAAAATATTGGAACTTACGAATCAAGTAATCTAAACCAAAGCATCTCAGACTCTTCTGGATTCAAACAGGGGATATTCCGCTGGCACAATTCAATACAAGCTTGCAACAAAGTTCGTATGTCATTCACCTGTTCGATATAGATCAGAAATAACATTATGGCTTTCAATCATAAAAAATAAATAAAAAGATCTTAGCCCTATTTCCTAATACAAGAGATATACAGTACAAACCTCCATTTTCAAAACATAGTTGAAATACACCATGCCAGATGTACCTAAAGGCTCCTTAGAGACCATACTTCCGATGGCAGTATCAAGCTCTGCAAATTTATCATTAAGGCTAGAAAGTGTAAACAAAAGAGCACTACCGACATCACCAACCCTTTCTAATAAAAATGCAGCTGCATCTATGATTCCATGTTCCTGGCACAAGCGGAGACAGTATTCAACTCGATAGCTATCAAAAGTTTCCAAGAACTAGAGAACCTAATCCCGTTCAAACTGACATAATAACTGCAAGAGGAAAAAAGGAAGAAGGGTCGTGAGAAGGCCAACCTAAATTAGAAGACAAATATTTTAATTAAGCAAGCAACGTTCCTTTCTGATTATTAGCCTTTTACTCGAACACTTAAGAATGAAGATAATAAAAATGAAAGCTGAATGGTATGACAACAAAACAAATGCCATACATGTAGCTTAAAGCTGTGCAGTTCCATTGAACACCAAGGGGAATTCAGCAATTGTAGCTATTAAATAAGAAGTGCAGTCAATAGGCACTAACCTCCAGATACAGCTCAATCATATCATCAGTTACATGAGGAGGATTATTTTGCAGGAACTTGGGGAAATTAGACATTTTTTTTCCAAGTAGGGTTCAAGGACTTTTTCTGAATCTTTCGCCCCTTTTCCACTCAAGACATCTACAATCTTCTCTTCCCTTGAATAAGAGAAGTTGAGGATGCCTGATAAGTGAACCTCAATGACCGTCTTTAAGTAAAGGAAAAGGTTTTTTGGATGAGACTTAATTTCAGACAGGATACGTGAACTTTCATCATTAAAATGGCCAACAACTAACAAGAATGTGTCCTCTCTGCAAAAGATCATAAAAGCATAAGTTCAACAAGGGAAGAATAATTTATACAACAGCATAAACAATCCTTTTAAAGAAGAAAATCAAACTGCAACAATTTTGGAATCCATAACCAGTATAACCTGCTTAAGTTAACAAACTCTGGATTCGAGAGATGAATGACGATTTGAAAGTAGCATAATCTCCATTGCACAGTCGCGTTAACTTATTGTTGATAAAAGCGAAGACATGGATTGGCTCTTCCACATCTTTCATATAGCTATCGAGAGCAGCAAGATACTGATGCCTGATGGTATGAATTAAGCCACAAACTTAAATATAACAGGACAAGCTTAAGGAAGACCTTAAAGAAAGTAATCTAAACCCTTGCATTATGCTCACAGTGAAGAACTCAAGAACTAAAGCCATAAAGATACCTGGTAAAAGCATGCATTCTCACATAATTGTAACACATAAGACTGATCCCAATCAGTTTCTGAACTACAGCCAAACGTGACAACAATTGCTTCTCTCTTTTTTTGTAGCTTTCAGTACTCATGGTAGAAACACTTGGCGAACTATAATTTTCTGAAGTGAAGTATTCCAAAATCTGATTTAGAACAGTTTTTGGGATTTTAGCTCTTCCACTTACAACATAGCATGCAATAAACTCAAACAGATATCTCATGTCCTTTGCTGAAGGCCATGCTTCAATAGATTTAGCGTCACCATTGCTTGCAGACCCATATGTTCTGGGGGCGTTCTTATCAAGAACATGAACAAGAGCATCAATGATTTTCTGAACCAACATCGTTTCAGATTTAGCCATCAAATCTTTCTCCTTTTTAACTTCCACATTTGCATCTCCAGATTCAGAAAAAGAGAAGTCCAATTCAGGGATTTCTCTTCTATGAGAGCACATTTTAAAACATCTAATGTGGCCTCAGTATCTAACTCTAAGAGATAATACAGATTAAGGTATGCCCCTTCAAAAGCCAAAGTTGAAGCTGGTTTTTTATCCTGACCATCAGAGACCTCTAGCAAAAACTGCAGAAGTTCTGTCCTCAGAGACAACACGCGTGATGCTGGAAGAGTACCTTGGCCTGAGAATAGAAAATTGTGATACTTCAGTGATAACTGACAGATTTGATGGTGTAAATGTTTCTCAGAATAACTTTGTGCAAATGATCAGCCTTAACCATATCTAAAGTCTAACCAAGGACTAAACATTAAATCATTCAAAAGTTGTCAGATACAACATACAAGGGTGTACTAGTTCAGAAATGCAAAATCCCTAGAATAAAAGTTTGAAGTAACAATAACATGATAGTTAATATAAGATGCAATTTCTGAATGCAAAATCCCTAGAATAAAACTTTTTTCTTCATTAACATGATAGTTAATATAAAATGCAAAATCCCGGCATAAAAATACAACCTACAATAGAAACCAGGAAGATTATGAAAATTTTGAGATAAAATAGGAATACAAGAAGAAAGTAACTGAAAGAGACACGCAGAATACATATAATAAGCTGATTGAAGTCCACGGACGAATTGTCCATGTGGAGAACACACGGTTCAACTCGCTGCAACCATCCTTTGCTCATTAAAATGAATTCTTTTAGAATTCATCTCAATATTTCCAAAATATTAAAAATGGTTCCTTTCCATTTAACTTCAATTCAAGCTTCTAATAACAAAATCAAGCATTCTAACAATGCATTCAAGCTTAGAACATTAACCTTTAAACCATTTCCATTTCAATTCCACAATTTGCATAATATGTGATTTGGTCCTCAATACTTTACAAACTTCCAAATTAGTCCAAACAACATTCTAAGAATTGTAGAACCGTTCACACATCATTTCTAGTCTTGGAGAAATTTTTCCAAAATTTTCCCTAATTTATTCACATAGGCCGAATATGAAGGGTCCATTATACCAAAATTTCCAACTTGATTCAAGAATGAATTCAACATCTAAACATCATTTCTATGCATTTACAATCAATCCCATATCAAAATAATCTAAATTCAATTTCATACAAAAACCATAGTTTGGCCAAATGATCAATTAACCATTTCTAATGCTTTTCAATCATCATACAAGCATGTAAATGATTCTATAACATCAACTACATCAAAATCTAACATTAAATCATGAAAAACCTAAATTCCTCTTCATCCACCCAATTCATGAGCTTATGATTTCAAGCATGGAAAACATGAACAAATGGTACCAAATGATAGAAAATTTCATGTAGATCAACTTTTTATTTCATGCTTTCATCTAAATTCCTAATAAATTAGCTTAAAATGGAAAAAAAAAACTTTCTTCCTTACCAACGGAGGTAACGACAATAGAGGCTGAAGATGAATAAAATTCTTGATAATTCTAATTAAAAAAACTAAGTACATTTGTCATTTTAATAATTAAAATGAGTTAAAAATCCATTTAATGGGAAATAACAAATTTACCCTTATAATCTCATGATGATTGTAACACCCCAAACCTCAGGTTAGAAGTTGGGCTAACCCGAAAGTGATTAGATAAACTCATTACCTTGTAGGAGAGCTTGGCCTACTTGGGATTTGAGTTGGGCTTGGGTTAGGACCCAAATGTTATAAATTTGGATTTTTAATCTTAAGAGGAAGAATTAGTGACCAAGGGAATAATAATACCAAAAATGTTTGCAAAGGCAGAAAACCCATTGATTTGGGTGATCTCACATCTAACTCTCTCCCTCTTTTGCTCAACTTTCTTTGTCTCTTATTCTCCTTCCATCCTCCTTCGTTCACCCACCCATTTCAAGCAAAAAAAGGTGCCAGCTTTGCTAGCCAATCATTCCGTTTTCTAGATTTCAAGGTAAGAAACAAAACCACCATCTCCTTAGCTTTCAATCAAGCTCCCATTTTTAAGTTTTGGTTGAGAGAACCAAATATAGGTTTAGTGGATAACAAACATCATTTTACTCGTAAAATAAATTTATTTTCTCAAAATAAAATAGATAGGAATAAGTGTATTATAGAGAATAAAAGGGTCGATCAGCAGAGACTTAGAAATTCTTGATGTAAAGTTGCATTGATTTTTATCTAGGCAACTATAACAAAAACTAAATAAAAGGGAGGGTTTTGTAAAATAAGAGTTGAAGGAAGTTAAATAAATGAAAGCAATAAAAAAAATTGAAAAAATTATGAGAAAATAGCTTCAAGCTTAGTGTTTCTTCAATTCCATTTGATCATCGAAATGTATTTTACTCTGAGATTCATGCCGATTACAGTCTATAAGGCCCAAACCTTGTAACATGTTTTTCCCTTTGGTAACCAATCTTACCAAGTCATTCTTCGAAATTCGGTCCTTGAATGGACTAACCAAAACTATTACTGTTAGAACAAATCATATTAAGTTTTGGAAAAGCCCGACTCAGATTATGTTGTGTCACTTAAAATCAAATCTGATCTCAGTTTCTCTTAGCATGTCGCCGCTAAATTTATTTCTAGGAAGTTAAACTAACTACTAGTCAATTCTTCTTCACAACTTTAAATCAGAATAACATTCAGACCAACGAACTCTTTTTGATTTGAAAGCGTTTTGATTTTTAAAAGTAAGGCTGATCGTCAAACTGACTTTCCAAAAAACTGAGAATATAACCCGAAGGTATTAAGTGCTTTTTCAATTCTCACATTGGAATTGATTCATCAATAGCTCTTGGCTAAATAAGAAAATTAGCGAAGCATGATAGAAATCATATTTAGCATATTTTATGAAAACAATAAATGCTTAAGTAAAAGAAAGCGAAAAGGAAAAGGAAACTTTGATTAAAAAAAACAAAGTAACAAAGTAAAGTTCAAGATGTGTTCAAGCTATACTCAATGACGATTTTATAGCTTTCTAAATCTCTAAAGATAGCATGGAACTTCAAAAGCAAATAATCTTAAAAATTAAAAGATAATTCCAAGTGTTTTGAATTCAAACTTAAAACTAGAATTCATAAAAGAGCTCCTCGGATTATGTTGATTGGGTTGCTTCCAGAATCTTTCCAATGCTGACTATACCTTCTAGAAACTGTCACGTTAGTTCATATCGTACCTAGTGTCATGCCCATGTCCTCAACCGCGATTAGATAATAAAAAAGCGAAAATGCCCTTTTTTGTTGGTTTTGGAAAGTAGATCACTGCACGAAAATAAGCAAAATAGAACCCAAATCAATAGTAATAAATTCATAACACGGGAAAATTAAAAAGTAAATAGTGTCAATTTAGAACACTCATCAAATTCCCCTCACTTATTTCATGCTTGTCCTCAAGCATGCTTCAATCGAACAAGTTAAAAATTTAATTTACGTTTCTCCGCCTTGTCTCATATCAAAGCAAGGCATGCAAGTTAAATTCGCAACAACTATTCAAGTCAAGATATCAATAAATTGGAAAGCATAAGTTAGATCAAGTTAAACAAATTCATAACATCCAATCATTCATTAATCTTAATGCAACCTAACTCAACACCTCATAAAGGTTTACTCAATTCACTCAATGTGTTTTTGGATGCAAGAATGCTCAAAGTCAGAACCAAACATGATATTTCCATAAGCTTGTAATACAATCAAATCTCCACTACTTAATTTGAACAAGATGCAAGTAACATCCATAACTTGTATACAACTTGAAATACGAGTTTAAGATGTTACATGAACATTACAACATTCATTGAACATAAATGCTTAAAATTTTGTTTCATTGTAAAACATTCCTTTAACAACTTTAAAACTATTTTGTTAATCATGTAAATTCATAAAATAATAATAAAGGTAACACCCATAACCTGTATATATCTTGAAATACGAGTCTAAGATATAACATCAACAATACATATTTTCGTTAAACGTAAATGCTTAAAATTGTTTCATTGCAAAACATTCCTTTAAAAACTTTAAAATTATTTTGTTAATCATGTAATTTCATAAAATAATAATTTATCATCTAAAAAAATCTGACTTTAGCCAGCAATTAGACAGTTTAGTGTTATTTCATAAACTATATAAAACTACCTAAACGTTGCTCAATTTGAAGATCATTTAATTGCCCCTTTAAATTATATTTACTTTAATCATTGTAAGTTAATCTATCAGAGTAATTAAAAACATGTTTAATATACATGCCATTAAAGAGTAAAAGATGTCTTATTGATACAATAGGTTGGTTTGATTTCCCAAGACGAGATGCTCTCAATGCTTATTACTTTACTTTCTTTTCTTTATCCTAACCTATACATAAAAATCATCACGCACTAAGTATAACTTAGTGAGGCAGTAACACAACTAAGGTGATATAAAACATAAAATGCCATAATATACTTTAATATATATATATATATATATATATAATTAAAAGAAAATCATTAAACTTTCAAACCGAGCTATTCAAGTTGAATTCTTCTTCAGAAACCTGAAAATCATCATCTCATGATTTTATCAAAAATCATGTAAATCAACATCAGACATAACAAACATTTCATGTTCTTTTCATTCGTACATATTTCAAACTTTCTTTTCATTTCCATTTTTTTTCTTTCATATACTTGTCATAACTTTCACATTTACTTTCATAGCCTAACGTATATGTAAGAGAATACAAGGTACATTAGTCATAAATAATGTGTGAAATATGCACCAACGATGCCATACTTAATGTACACGAATGTACCATAACTTAACTTGAACTTTACTCAACTTCCTGGCATGCTAAGTGTACCTACGATCTCAATGCAACATACAATGGGCTTCCATATCATACTATATTCATTTATAAATCAATATTTCAATTCAGAATCATTTTCCAATCATTATCATAAATATCACAATTTGGGTAATTCATACCCTAAACCATTCATAAAACTTTATAAAAACATTACAGAAATAATCCATAATTAAAATAGAAAACATACTATAAAATAATATGAGGTTGACTTATCACAAGTCAACCTTGATCAGAATAATTAAATAAATAAATTGCACTCGCATTGATACTTCATATATATAAGTCGAAATATAAGCTTCACTAAGCTTTGAGCTTGATCCTTTTCTTTTTATTCGATTCGATCTT